TTTTTTTGAGACAGTGTCTCGCTTTGTCACCCTGGAGAAAGTACTGTGGCATCATCATAGCTCACAGCAACCTCCAACTCTTGGGCTTGAGCAATCCTCTTGCCTCGGCCTCCTTAAGTAGCTCAGACTACAAGCCCCCACTACAACGCCCATCTATTTTTAGAGACAGGGGTCTTGCTCTTGGGAGTTCAAGGCCAGTCTGAGCAACTTGCAACTTCAAGTACTATCCATAAATGTAAATATTTATGATTGTTTCCTAATATTTCTAGAAATAGAATTGCTTGGTCAAAGAGTATGTACATTTTTAAAATGTCTCACATACATTGCTAAATTGTCTCTCAGGAAGTTTACACCAGTTTACATTCCTACCAGCAAGCGACAAATGGAACAATTTGTCTGAACCCTCAACAATCCTGGGCATTTCACTTCTTTTTTGTAATCCTTGCCAGTTTTACAGATGAAAAACAATTATCTCAATGTTTTAGTTATTATAGTGTATCGAGAAATTCCCTGCTCCCCCATTCCCAGTTTGGGTGTGGTTTGGTTGGGATTGACCACAACCCTCTCTGGACTTGATGTGGAATGCAGGTGGCTGTGGGAGCTGCTGGCAGCCATGCTCAGCCTTTCTGAAGTGGAGGAGTTTAGAAATAGAGAGAGGAAAGCTAGGTCTCCTCACATCTGTGAGCCGCAGATGAAGCCTCCTGGGGAGCCAGTTAGGTAAGAAAATCAATTCCCTTTTTTTTTTTTTTTTTAAATGTAAACCAGGTTGGCTCAGCTTTCTGTCACTAGCTGGCAAAGCAGAGGATGCTAACTGAGACACTTGCAGTCAATGGATTCCATGGTCCAGTAGGAACTCAGTCCATTCCTTCCAAGCAGTCCAGATATTACATACATGACTGCTCTCAGTTCTGTTTATCATGACCCCCATGGGGTTCAGCTTTAAGGTACTTCCAATGAACTCCCAAGTCACATGTCACCTAGCAGCTCCCTGGATGCCCTGCCATCCTATCCATCTATAGGAGAAAAGAGTCAAAGAGGAATGTGGGGGTTGATTTGATTCCCGGGCTGCATCCGTTGTCATATGGTCTAACTGAAGACATGGGATATGAAAGGGTGATGTTCATGTCCCTCTTCTACAGTGATTTGGGACCAACTCAGTCTTCCAGAAGAAAGTTAAGGGCATCCATGGATTGGGATGTCCCAGGGCTGGAAAATGACATCCTGCGTTCTGGGGTTGGTCTCTAGGCTAACATCTTATAGTGAGGGTGGAAAATTAGATACATATTTTACTACAAGTTTTTACCCTGCCAAGAGGAAGGAAATTAAATACAACTTGACAAAATTGCAAATCTACTTCCGTCTCAATTTTTCATAATACTATGGCAAAAAACTGGAAGGTGTTTCCCCTATCTCACTGGCATATGTATGTTCTGTAGTAGCCAGAAATTCTATGTAGTGAAACCAGGCAAAAACTAGATGAGACTATGTGAAGGACGTCTCTAGTCACCAAAGCC